AGTCACCTTGGCCCTCAGGAATGCATTACATCCTCAAGTCGGGGTGCGGGTGGGGGGTGGTTCCTATTATACAATCGGAAAGAAGTCAAAATAATCCTTTTTTTCCAAGCCTTTAAAACATGTGTGGCTGCTATGTTTTTTATGGCTTTGTTTGTTTGTTTTATATAGTGGTCCATCTCACATACTTGACTCTGAGTAGTTTACAGTATTTACATGAATAAAAAACATACACGTATATAAAAATAGACTGGTTTTATATTTTTTTTGGTGTGATTTTGTGGTGTTAATTGCATGCTGGTAAACTACTCAGACCCAGTATAAATATATATATATTTGAAGTAAATTTAAATATGTAAATTTGTGAAAAAATAAAATAATCAAATTAAATAAGTGTTAATCTACCTTCAAAATAATTAAGCAATATATCAATTTGTTCAGAACCATTTTCCTCCTAAAATTATCCTGCTGTGAATTCTACTCTTGCTAAAATAAAGTGGGCTCGCTTTTTCTAAGTGATTTCTTGAGCTGTCTCAAAAGGTTGGGATGCAGACTTCTCAAATGTTTCCCACTCCTATTCTAAAATATTCTTATTTCATCTACAAATTTGGTATACTATACCATCTATTTTTTCATCCATGTAATTAAAGACAATGTTGAAGAATACTGGATTTGGAAGACAGAATCCTCAGATAACTATGGATCTAAAATACTGTATTTTTAATCCGACTTATTAAACAGTGCGAATTGAAAATAATAATGATAATAATTGGGTACATGCTCTTCACTGAGGTTTCAAAACTAAAGTATCAAGATGCACTAAGGAAGGATCGTAGGAAGAAAAAGTAGAGAAAGCCACCATTTTATATTTATTAAATATTTTCTTAAAAAAGATAAGTTATTGAAGAAATATATATGAAAATAAAACTTCTAGGGTTTTTATTAGCAAAATTGATATAAAATGGTTTTAATTTCTGAGATTTTAAAAAATATAATTGCTTCATTGACTACATCTATGTGGAATGAACACCTGGGAGACCATCAATCTTTGTGGCTCTCTTGATATGTTTCCATTAGGAATTGCTAGACTCGATATATAATAAATAGGATATTTTGTCTCCAAGTTTATAAACAATGGGATATATTTGGGGTTTTTTGGGTTATAGATTGGGTTTTGAGTATGGAAAAACTATAAAATATGGCACAAAACATTCTAATGGAAGTATTTGAAAGATTTTTCTCAACTTCAACTAAAACTTTGTCTCCCTAATTCACAATACTGGTGATATAATCAACCCAAGCAAGTTTTCATATCTCAATGTGGAACCTGATGCTTTGTTGACATCTGAGAAAGCCAAGGTGCTAATATATTTGGAGGAGTTAATGACTGAAATTAAACCCACATCCTTTTTATACAAAAAACTAAATAACATTTTAAAAATCAATATTAAGATTATTTATGGTTCATGGATTAAAGAACGGAAGCACTCAGTAATGCAACCCCAACGGTTTTAAAGTGGATTTAAAATTAAAATGGATTTAAAATTAAAATTGATTCATCAAAATATCTTATTTTGAGTTTATTACGCACACCGAAGAATGTATTCAAAAGAAGACATTAGATTTTCTCTGCTGCCAATGCAAAAAAGAAAAAAGGGGGGGAGGGGGGAGAGGAGTCACTGATCAATGTGACTTGGTCTGGTGAATCATTGACATACTGAAACAATATTTTAACATACATGAATAGATTTAATGGGAAATTGTTTAGTGTTAAATATATTGATTTTATGTTAAATGATATCTCCACTCGTTGGAATTTGATTATTTTTGAGGAGTTTTGGTTGCATTGAGTCTGGGTGTTGCTAAGAAAATTATTGTGAGAAATTAAGAAAAGTAGCATTTCTAATATTAAGGGTTGGATTCAAGAATATGTGTCTTACCTGTTTTTAAAGGGCAATTTTCTATCCAAAATGACTATGTTTTTCTATGGCATAGATTTTAGGATTTTGAAATGTTAGAGAATCATTGATTATTTTTTCTCTCCCATGTAAATTCAAAAATCTATTTGAGATTGATTAACATGTGACATATATAGTTTCCTCCTTTTCTCATTTTTGCTTTACTTTTGTATTTTTATGTATTTCTTTCCTATTATTTTTCTAATTTTGTAATGTAAAATATTTGAAATAAGATAAAAAGATAAATTTGTTTGGTCAATTATTTAAATTTTTAAAAAGATACAGTATAAAATGAAACTTTTAAATTCACATCTAGTGTATTTTCTATTGATAATGATTTAGCTTGGGCTGGTGTAATTAATTACTGGGTTTCATTGGTTTTTAATCTGCAAATACTTGATGGAGTTTTTTTGGGGGGAGTGGAGAATCCGATTGCCTTATTTCAGTGCTGATTCCTTTGAATATGCATGTTAAATTCACCATTGGATTTGTTCCTCTGTAATATATATTTAATCTTTGGAATTATTTGCAACAATATGTGGAGTTACAGTAGAACAGGGATGTCAAACTTGCATAGTCATGGCATTGTCACGTGACTTATCACAACTTTTCTCCCTTTCACTAAATTGGGCGTGGGCACCAGCACGTGATGCAGCTGGCCTGCGGGCTGTGAGTCCCTGCAGTAGAGAATGAGTTGAGAAAGGAGAGTAGTGGAGAGTAGTTAAATAAAAAAGACTTACTTCAATATGTGATTGTGTCAGGGTTCCAAGTAACACCCCCAACCAATGAAAACTCCAAGGCCAGCAGTTCCTCAAAGTTCCATTTTATTAGAGATGTCATATTGGCACATCTGGGAAAACCCGAATCTGAAAGCCCGTGGGTTTTCCCCACCTAAAAGAAAGTCAAAGTTCCTTCCCCTGCACTCACATGTCCATCACATGGTCCAATCAATTCACCGTTCCAATTGGAGATGTTCCCCCCAATCACGCCTCTTCAGGTGCAGCCTGAATGTCCTTGACGCCCTGAGAAAGGAATGTTGTTATGGCTATACTGTATCTCCACCAACTCCATGCAACCCCCCTCCTGTTTTCCCATAGCACTAAGTGTGGCAGCCCTGAAGGTCCAAAGAAAAAGATGGCTTCCAGGGCTGACAGATTGATTGTTTGGTTAGGTGCCATCAGGTTGGTGTCAATTCTTAGTGACCGCATAGATTGATTTTCTCCATGGCAATATGTCTCTAACCTGGTGCTTCGGGTTTTCCAATAGTACACTCATCTCTACTATAACAGTCTGATCACCTTGTTGCTGGTCTTCTCTTTTATTTCACCTTTCCCAGCCTTACCTCATATAAAATAAGATTATTCACAGGTAATTCTCAATCAGATCAGTTAGATTTCATTTTCAAATAAATATTATTTGGATTCTAAGATTTTGGAGGAACTGCTTTAAATAACTTGTATGTGGAGCTGCACCTGAAATCTAGTATTTTGTTTTAAAGTTGCCTTCTTTTCATCTGGCCAGATAATTCTATTAAAAACTCAAGTTAATACATAAGAGTTCTCTTGATAGTTTTGTCTCTGTGTGAGAGAGATGTTTCTGAACTAACCAACCTCACGTTTACGCATGATTTGTCCTTATGTTTCTCCCTATAAAAAGCCCTGATAGAATATGCCACTTGTCACAGTCTAATAGCTCTCCCTCTTTAAATAATGTCAATGTAGATTGCTAGGTTAAATTTAAAATGTTTAAAATGCATACATGCAACCTGATTCTACTCCCCTGTTTTGCGTACTGTACTTGTGATATATGAATGCTTACTGAAATCATGATTTCTAAGTATAACACTGTCTTATTTTAGTTACATTTCTACTATAGTAGCTGAAGGCCTAAAGTCATAAATGGGCATTATATAAGCAGGGGGAGGACACACTTGCTTTTTGAAACTGGGGAAAAGTCCTGAGACTACAAGCAATTAATACTTCTGGAGCTTTCCGGAGCTCACTGTAGCAATCTACAGCCTACCAAAACCCTCTCCCTGGAATACGATTGGGGTCTGTTTCTCTAAGGGAATACCCAAGAATGCCAAGCGACATAATAATTGGAATTTCTTGAGCAGATGCTGGAGTGCATGTATGTATGATCATTATAACTCTTCATTATTCAGTAACTACTCTCGACCGCCATCCTTTCCCAACTCATTCTCTAGGTTGACTGCTTTTGACATGGCAATTAATCATGTTGGCTGGGAATGATAGGAGTTTTAGTCAAAGACATCTGAGGGCAGCAGCCAGGGAAAGGCTATCTGAAAGACATCAGCTATTACAGTAGGAAGAACTTGTTAGGTATGATTTTTTTGGCAATGAATGTAGACTTAAGATTCTTCTTGATTTTACACACACACACACACACACACACACACACACACACAGAGAGAGAGAGAGAGAGAGAGAGAGAGATCCATCACTATTTTTTTTTCCTTTCGGGATAAGCAATGTTAGGCAAAGTGTAGAAAAGAAGTAAGAAATCAGACTACTCAGTTGGCTTTACATCTGTTTAAGTGAGCTTGTAGTGATATCAATACATTTGAAATGTTAAAGAAAACCTATCCTTTTTTTAAAAAAATAGAATACTTGTTGTCAAAGAATACACAAAATGATTCATGATAGCAACTGATACTCTTTGTATCAGTTGCTTGCTGTTAGATAATGCTTTTTGGAAAAGAAAGAATGGCAAGATGTGAGTTTCTATATGCATGTAGAGAAAGACAGAGAGAATAGGTGGTTGATCAAAATGACTCTGAAGCCTTCCTGAAATCTAAAGATAACCAGCAAACAGAAGCATTCACTCTGCACCTGATCAATATGACTCCAATATCCGGTCCAGTGCTGCAGGTGCAGAGTGAAAGCCGTCAGCACATTTTGAATCAAGTGAAAGAAGTTGCACAGCTGTCTCCAAAGACGTATTTCTACCAATACCTATTTGCTTCCTCCATTTCAATGAGAAGCTAGTATGTGCACGTAACTATATAAAATATGCTTGCATCAATTCTTTTAACAATAATTTTATTAATAATTCAATTACAATAAAAACTAATACAAACCAACAAACCCTTAAAAGAATAAAAAGAAAAAAATAGGTGGAGGAAGGTAAAAAAGAAAAAGAGAGAGAAATAGAAACAAAACAAAATTAAGAATATAGTAGAGAAAGGAAAAAGAAATGTATAAAGAAATTATTTCCCCTTCTAAACAATATTAGTAGCTTGACACCTCTTAAAATATAACAATTTCTTCTCTTTAGAATATGACTATTTCTCATCTATAAATAAATCCTTAAAGCATTATCATTTCAATCCTGAAGTCAGGATTGAAGGCTACCAGAGGGTTATTAGAGACAACAGATCTATTTTAATCTTGATCAAATAAACTAACTTTATATTCCTTTGTTTTATTTTTAATCATCATGATCATTAGTCCCTTCAAATGTCATAGAACTTATTTCTTTTCATTTTTCTTTCTCTGTTCTCACAAAATTCTACAAAGCATTAATAAGTTTCTTTTGTAAATTCAATATAGGAAAATTATCTAGGTCATTCTATTGGTTTATTATTTGTATATCCATTTTAATTATTAAGACATCAGTCAGTGTCTTTTGTATATCCATGATAGCATCTTTCTCTATATCATTCTTGTAGCATGTTATTTTAAAGTTCACTTTCAGAATATTCTCAGTCCTGTCTGATACATTTTGTTCCTCTTCCATAACATATTTTAAACACAGTCTGCCAGATAGGCAGACACCCTTAAAATTAACTTTTAAGTCCAAAAACATCCTTTAATATACTGAATGTTAAAATATTTTTTCTCCATTCTCAATAAGTCAAATTTAAGTTATCTTCTCCTTTAATTTTTTCTAGTTTCCTCTAGTGTCCACTTTTCAAAGTCTTATTGTTTGAAAAAAATTAAAAACAAAAGGATTTTCCCACCAGAAGGATTAATTCCAAAATCCTATTTCAAATTTATCTGGAACCTTAATCAATTTATAACTTTCTAAAGTTAGAAAGCAAGCTATAAACTTGCTTTCTAAAAAGCAAGTTTTAATTAGCCATTGTTTATTTTAAAAAATCCTTAAACTTGCATAAAAACATCTTTTGCTAAGAATTGAAGGAAACTTCAATACTGTCAAATCTGTTGAAACTTCAGTACTATCAAATCTGTTGATCCAATGTCCTTATTAGCTGAAAAACAGTTAACAAACAATTTCTGAAAGTGATTAGAAAAGGAAGTATACAAACCCAGTGTTCTTTCAAAGGCACTGACCATGGTTTGAACAAGTTGGCTATTCCCTCATTGTCCAGTGCTCTAAACCTACTGGAGACTCTTATCTTGCAGTTGTATCATGAGGAGAAACTGTCTAGAGCACTTGTGGATGATCTCAAATCCTCTCCTTGTCCAGAGAGGAATGATCAAATTGCTGGTCTAATTGCTGGCTCTTCATTCCACCTTGATCAGATCTGCTTTTTGTGGAATTGTCTTCAGTCAACCATTTCTTCCCTGGAAGTCAGATGTTTATATGTAAAGCCTAAAAACTGCACTGTGATACCATTATTTGTTCTTCAGTCCAAATTAATAAAATAATACTGAATTCTAGATTAGTTACATATTAAAATACAATATTTAAGTTTAGGTCTTAAGAGGACTTTAGTAGAAGGACAGTTTTTCAAGCGTGTTTTGTGACCATCAGGGAACTAATAATAGTCTTGTTGTACTTACTTATCAAGAGATGTTGTTAGGAGCACCTTGAAAGAAGCAATATACAGAGTAGCTAGGTATAATTGGTATGGTTCATCAATACTGTGCAGTATAATTTGAGGATAAAGTATAACTTTTTTTTCTTCCTTGTGTTTTTCTGTAAGTGCAGGGTCTGCTTTTTTTTTTTTTTGGACCAACTGGGTGCTGACCCATTGGTTGAAATAGGAATTGGCTAATTGGCATGTCTCCAGAGCCTAACATTGTGGGCAGAGAGAAAGCGATTGGCCCAAAGTCATCTAGCCAGCTTTCATACTTAAGACATAGGTAGAGTCTTCTTGTTTCTAGTCTGATGCCTTAATCACTAGACCAAACTGGGTCTCCTGAGGATTAAGTATAACTAAACACCCTAAAATCCAAAATCTAGTGATTGCACCAGTATAGAAGAAGGCACTCAACACAAAGGCTTATCTTCTCTATTTTAAAATGTACAAATATTACAGTGAAGACAGCACTCTTACTTTTGCCTTAAGACCATCTCGCTACAGGTAGTCCTTCACTTATGACCATTTGTTTAGCAACTAAAGTTATGATGGCGCTGAAAAAGTGACTTATGACTGGTCATCACATTTACAACTGCCCCCATGAATGTCATTTGTGACCTTCCCAGCTGGCTTCCAACAAGCAAGGTCAATGTGCTTGTTGGAATATACAGACCTCCGGACATTTCGTCGGGCCCTGAAAACGATACCAGACCTCCGGACTTTTCGTCAGGCCCTGAAAACACATCTTTTTCACCTAGCCGGGCTGGCTTGATCCCATCCCTTCGATTTTAATTTGTAATTGGTTTTAACCCGGGTTGTTTTTAAATGGATAGCCAACATTATTCAATGTTTTTTAAATTGCTTTTAAATTTTTTATCTTATGTTTTACCATGGCTGTTCACTGCCCTGAGTCCTGTTGGAGAAGGGCGGTATACAAATTAAATAAAATAAATAAATAAATAAAATAAATGTAGAAGCTGGCAGTCAAAGTCACAAATTGTGGTCATTTGATATCTTGACCGCACCTATTAACGATAGATATTCCATATTCCTACTGTGGTTGTAAGTCTCAGCCTCCTGTATAAAAAAAAAATGGCATAGAGTGGAATTGCTTTATTTTAGATTTGACTTATTAGAATTATACAAAATGCTATAGAAAATGTTCTGTGAATCCCTGATGACATTTATCTTAAAAAATATTACTTTTCCAATTTTAAAAGGGATACATTTAAGCTGTTGTTGCATTATCCTGATTATTTATTCATGTAATTTGTTAAGTCTACCCAACTCCAAGACGACTCTGGATAGTCCTAACTCTCCAGAACACCTGATTACCTATTGTTTCTGTAATAGCTTTCTAAGAATTATTTAGCAATACGATTTTGTATAAATCACAAAAGTAACAAAAATGTTTATAATTTGAATTAAATGGCTACAGGTTAGGGGGTCTTCATCTCATTCCCTTTTCCCCTGTGAGATTCTTCTTTGACAGGTAAAGAGTTTCTTATTTGACAGGAGGTGACTGAAGCATACCTGTTGATAGAACCATGGAGAAAAGGCACCTATGTTACTTCAGGCCTTTTGGTTCCTTCTCCAGACAATGACCAATTCCCTCTCTGGGGTCTTTTTTTTCCCTTAGAAAGCTGATACCTTGAATCAAGATGCGCTAGAAAATGCTGTATGTAAGAAATAAATCTGCAATAAGTGATCGAACAAACTTGTAAGCATTTCTACTCAAATCCTAAGTACATCTAAAGCCATATTGCTAAAAACAAAGATGCCAGATAGATCCAATATGTTTTAGAATATCATTAGTTCAAAGCAGAAATCTACAAAGGCCACCTCCATGTCAGTATGTGCATAACAAATTTTCTAAATCTTGGTTTGATAAGGAGTATAGTCATGCCAAGGTCCCACAGATTGCCACACACCAAGTTGCCAGAGGCAACAATGATTTACATAATCAGGAAGTGTTTATTCCTTAAAAATGGAATATAAAGACTTCCTGAGAAGGAAGCATAGGCCAGCTAACTGGTCAGATCAATTTGATCTAGTCAGTTTAACCTCACAACAATACCATGTTCTGGCACCCACCCTTCCTTGGGGCAACTTTAAAATGTGTGAACTTCAATTCCCATGCTGGCTGGGAATTCTGGGAGTTGAAGTCCACACATCTTAAAGTTGCCATGTTTGAAAAACACTGGTCTAGGGAGTGATGCAAATATACAAAAATGTTTTTCACTATCTATGGTAAATTGGGGATAAAATAAACTGTGTAGCCTTTTCAATAGAGAACACCAAGAGACTTTCTATCCTTCAAACTCCTAAGGACATGAAATTAGACAAGAGTGAGAAATCCACCTGAAGCAGGAGTTGTGTATGTTTCAAAAATACAGCAAAATTACTCATACTATTGGCTGCTGTTACATTTTTATTTCTGGAGAAAAGGAGAAGCGTTTCTGTGATTTCATAACCAAAAAAGAAAAACAATTAGTCCTGGATAATGTGAAGAGGGTGAGCTTCATTTACCGCTGCATTGAAGAAAGTAGTTTCTTGGGACTGACCCTGTCTACAAAGAGACTTGTCATCAGTCTTGCATGCTTTCCTGGAAGCAGATTCTAAAACAAGTTTCTAAAAAATGCTGTTGGTTGAATTTCCTCACAGTGGAAAGATAAGCTGTCCGTGGTTTAAGCTCTGTAGCTCCACAATGTGGACTGTATCAAGTCTCAACCAAGGCAAACCACTCCTCCCATCTTCCTCTTATGTTGTAAGCCTGCAGCTGGGCTGCTGTAGGGCCCTCCCAGCTGTGAGCTTACTGTATGGCACCTCAGGCCAATGTGTCACCTTCCAGTGCAAACTGTCCACAATGACTGCATGCATAAAGAAAAGGAAGAGACAAGCTATAATTTAGGGACAAGTGAAACACTCAAGGCATTCATCTTTATAATTATGGCAAATAATTTAGGTAAAGTTTGTGTTTATATAACACCTGTATTATTAGCCACACTTGCATTTGGACAAGAGAATTGTCTAATTCAAGATAACAGTGATTACCGTTTGAATGAGTCAGTGTTTGTGGTAGGCTGAAAAGGCTCCCGCATTACTTCTGGTGCAGCCCTCCTCTGCTAAGTGAAAAGGAGCTGTTTTGTGGAGGGGTTGTGCTCATCACCTGTGCTATAGCAATAGACTGGAAAGGTTTTCATATAGGAAGCAGCTTCTGAAAGGCAAGTGTCTGCTTTGGGTGGGAAAATGAGTCACATCTCCAAGAGAGCAAAAGGCAATACAATTAGTCAGTGAATCTTTTGCTCCCCATCACAATTGTGGATAATTTTTCAAAATATTGATCATGCTTGGACTTAAGTGGTTTTTTTTAAAAAAAGTCATGCTTCCAGTTCACAAATTTCCACAAAAATAAAACACCAAAATTTAGCCCTGCATTAAAAAAAAAAAAAAAAGAAAGAAAATGTACTGTAGTACTCTTAAGAAAAACATTTCTCATGTTTGCCATTGCAGTCTTTTGAAATGGGAAATGCATGGAACAGAAAGTAATGGGAATGTCCTTTCCCTAATTGGAGATGATTTGAATGAATTTATGGGAACCCTCTGTCCCAATCCCTAAATTCTTTCCTGTCATTTTCTACAGTAATAAAAAAAAAAACCCAGTGATTTGACCATGATTTAATCCAACTTCCCTATTTGATTTTTAATGTATTTTTTAAAAAATAAAACACTGCCATACTGCAAAGCAAAGAATCAACCTCTGACATCATTTTTTTTTTGTGTCTCTGGCATGGTGGAATTAAAAAATAAACAAAATTGATGGAAGTTTGCTAAAGGACAACAAATTTGGGAAAACATGTAGAATATGGTTTCTGGATTCTTTCTTAACCCTTTTACCAAACGAGATATATACATATTTCCAGTGGTGGGATTCAGCCAGTTCGCACCACTTCGGGAGAACCAGTTGTTAACTTTCTGAGCAGTTTGGTGAACTGGTTGTTGGAAGAAATCATTAGAGTTGTTAAATTATTTGAATCCCACCACTGCATATTTCAATAATGAAGGATACATTACATCTTATTGTGTGTAGATGTTTTCACCCTTTCCTGATGTTGTATGTTTATGTATTTTTGAGTGGCAGGAGAAGAGATGGAGGCTTAGATGGAGAGTTTCATATGATCCCAAGATGCTGCCCACCTGGCTTTCCTCTAGAGATACATTTTGTGGGTTTTGTCCTCTTTAGCTCCCTACTAGGTTCAACACATTTTTAAACTTGATTTTTCTTTTTCCAGCTTCTCCCTGAATATCTGGTCCCTTAGTGTTCAGTTGTCAAGAGTTATTGTGCTGATAGTCAGACAGAGTCCTGACATATAATTTCTTTTCAACATACCACTGAGTTGGAAAGAATAAAAAAGTCAGGTGAAAATGGGCGCATCCTAGGGGACCAAAAGAAAATGGTAAGCTTGCCTTTTAATATTTTTTTTTACTAAACATATTTATTGTGTCAACCATTTTAGGCACATTGGCAGCCATTTTGTAAAATTGGATTCAAATTGGAAACCATTCTTAAATTAAGATTTAAGACGGATTTGTACCATACCCAAAATTTAGGTTTCTGTTATATATATTTTAGTTTTATAGGAGTTTTAAATTAGTACCAATTTTTACTAGTATAGACAGAATTTATTGCAGTTCACAATTTCATCTTATGATGTATACTGAGCTGATCTTGTTTTTTGCTATCCACCCTTGAGCTCCAGCTCAAGGGTGATTTTCAAAGTTTTAAAATGATATTACATATTTAGTTATTGCCAATGATATGCTAGAAAATGGTAAACTGTGATATTTGTAACTCTCTTGTTTATTCAGTTGTATCATACTCTTTACCCCTTCCTTTTGATCTTTTTTTCCTTCCTGTTTATGTATTTTCCATAAAATGTCTAGTAAAACATTTTAAAAATAAACAAACACACAAAAATATGCTTCATATTCAGAAAGATTGAACACAGCCCATAATATTTACCTAGTCTTGCTTTAGGCAAAATGACAGAGCCATCGTAGATAGCAAATACAGGGTCTCTAAAAAGCCAGATGATCATTTTATTTCTATTATCAGGGCTGGGGAAACGATTACGTGGTTTTTCTTGCCTTACGTGACAAAATATTTTACTTGGCTCTGTGTACTACACAGCTTTACTTGGATCACCATTTGCTTCTTTGCCTCTAGTAGCAATATGCCTCGGGCAGCTGCTACAAGGCAAAATATTCTGAGTTGAACACACACAATCATCTGGGCATTCTCAGTTGTGTAGCTGACTCTGGTGCTGGCAGTCTGAGATTCGATCATCTCCCAGGCAACATACAATTCAAACATATGTATTCTGTAGGGTCTAAAAAGAATGTGTGTTTTCTAACTGCAACTTCCATGGAGTATGTCTGCAAATTAAGAGTACCAGGGGATGGAACAAGCTCACTGTGTTTTTAAATTAAATGTTTAGCATTTTATTACCCATTATTAGGCATCCTTTCTTTTAATTAAGAACATTAGTATGAAATGTCTTTCAGATCTCTGTAGATTGGTGTTACACGCCCGTCATTTTAATAATTATTTTTCTCTTTAAAAAAAATTGCCAACATTTACAAATAAGAGTTTTCTGCTTAAAAAGAAGAAACTCCAAATTATACTGGTTTAATAAATGGAGCTAATAGCCTGGGGAGATGGACACCAGTTCACAACAGCAGGCCTTTGAAACCTGTTTGACAAGTTGCCAACTGAAGAATCTTCCCCAACTTGTATTAAAAGCATACTAAATCTCTGTCTTAATGACCTGCAGTTACAACATATTTTAGCAAAGGTGTGCCTGATAAATAAGGAAGAGCTTTGCCCCTCTGGGTTCGATGTTAGCAGGCTATCATTCACTTCATAACTTTTAGATAGACTGCTAATTATTGTCTCTTTGGGTTTTTAATGTATGCATTTTTGTTTTATTAAGTACCTTGAGTCCATGGAAATGGGCTATATGTAAAACCAAGTCATCATTAATGAATAAATTAAAAAGTAACAGTTGATATATATGAGTGGTTTCCACATAACACTTCCCCTATGTTCAGTAGCAATTATTGTCACCTGTGCAGATGGAAGGGAGGAGGAAATAGTATGTCACATATAACCTCTTCATTTTCCAGGGTTATTTTGCACACTGTCTGCTAGTGAAAATGACTTATTTGCCTTTACTTTTCCACCTTGGTACCAGATAGTACCAAGCAATAGCTGTCATCAACACAATATGAACCTTGAAGGAATTACTATTTTCCTATTCATGCTTGCCTATGTGGCTATATTGGGAAAACTATACTGTGTAAAAAGAAAACAAACATTGTTTTGCTTGCACACGAACTAATAAGAATTACTTTTTAGAGTTATGCTGCCATGGATTTCTTTCTTTCTCTCTTGTCAGCAGCTGGATTCACTTGAGCAGATAAGAAAATATTTATTTAGTTTGGAAAAAGGCCAATATAGTTTAGCACTTTATTCCCACAGTGGCCCCAATAGATGCTTCCAAGAAGCCCAGAAAGAGAACTTGAGCCTAGTAATATTTGCCTGTACATACTTCTGACTAACCAATATTGAATTATTACTATACAGTTACTGTATTGAATACTAGCATATT